GTATAGCTACTTTCCTGGCCCCCTGGCTGTTCCCAAAATACCTGAACCCTTTTGGGGAGGGTTTAAGTTTTGCATAATTCATTTAGTCAGTAATTTGAACCCAAATTCTGTCTGATGGAGACACAGCCTTGAAGAGGAGGGGAAGGGATAGATCAGGTGTCAGGAAATGTTTCTGGAGTACTCACTCTAACTCACGGTCCTTGGTCACTGGAGGTGAAAGAAGTGTATTCCCTAAGCCGTGCTGCAAGTGGCTCTCTAGCTGGCTGGAACCGGATTTAGAAGCCATTAGTTCACACTAGGGCTCATTCCGGAAAAAATGGCTGTCTGTAGGGATGGGATCAGGAAAGACTTCTGGGAGGAGGAGTATTCGAAAGGGCCCTGAAGGATGAGCAGGAGTCTGCCTGACAGCAAAAAAGGCAGAGGGAGGCCAGGAGAATCCTAGCACTCTGGGAGGCTGAGGCGGGAGGATCGCTCAAGGTCAGGAGTTCAAAAGCAGCCTGAGCAAGAGTGAGGACCGCCCCCCCCCAGTCTCTACTAAAAATAGAAAGAAATTAGCTGGACAACTAAAAATATATAGAAAAAATGAGCCGGGCATGGTGGCGCATGCCTGTAGCCCCAGCTACTCGGGAGGCTGAGGCAGGAGGATCGCTTGAGCCCAGGAGGTTGAGGTTGCTGTGAGCTAGGCTGACGCCATGGCACTCTAGCCCAAGCAACAGAGTGAGACTCTGTCTCAAAAAAAAAAAAAAAAAAGCAGAGAGGACATTACGAGCACAGGCTGGATGGAAAATGACCTGTCCTGGTGCCGGGCAGGGATTAAGTGGCTACTCTGCAAAGAGGCTTGAGAGGAGGAAAACTTGAAGATGGAAGCTTGAGTCCTTGGGCCTGGGACTGGGGGTACAGGGTTAGGTTAGTAGACAGAACCGTGGTGTTTGGGGCGGGAAGGAAAGTTTGCTGGAGAGCTGCCTGGTCTCAGATGTCGCCAAGCCTTCCCTGATCGTCAGTCGAAGCCTGGTTCGGTTTTGGGGGAAGCTCCTGAGTGGGGAGAGGAAGGACACAGCTCCTGGACCCTTTGGAAGGGCTGGCCATGGTGTTCACCAGCCGCATTTGGGATTAATTACCGAAGGCCTCCGTGCCTCCCCCAAGATCGGGCTTAGCCAGAAAGCAGGCGGTGCTCCTGTCCGGTGGGAACAGGGAGCTGGAACTGGGAGTTAGGGGTTGGGAATTTGGCTCTGGGCAGGTTTTGCTTCATTTCTAGAAGACAGGGATAACAATAGTGCCCATTTCATGGGATTAAATGAGAGGGTGTCCTGGAGGGAAGCTGGCATAGAGGAGGATAAGCCACAGCCGTCATTGGAACGAGACAATTCCAGCACATCCCAGAGGCAGGGCCCTCGCTGGGGTTGTGTTTCCAGGGGAGGAACCAGTCTGTCTTGGACACTGATGGAACAGTGAGTTTTTTACTGCTCAGAGGCAATCATGTCATTATCCTTCTCCTTAACTTTCCATGGCTCCCTACTGTCTTCCAGATAAAGCCTCAATTCTGTAACTTGACCAATACAGTGCTGCAAGGCCAGGCCCCTGTGGTCATGCCCATATTCACTTGAGCCCCTTACTGCTCTTGCCACCTCCCTGGGCACCTATGGTGCCTCCCACCTGTGGTTAGTTCCTCCCAAGCCTGGGGTTGCTCTGGCTCTTCTGCAGGAATCTCTGCCTCTTCCCCTCCTTTCCTGGCCATTCCTGCACATCCTCTTCAGCACTCCCTCTGGATGATACTTCCTCAGGGACTGGCCCTGGGGTCTTCTCCAGGGGACATCCAGCCCCCTGCACCCCGCTGCTCTCAGCGCTCTGCTCTCTGTTTTCCTGCTGTCTGTCTGCCTTCCCCAAGGCTGGGAGGTGGCATCCACTAAGTGTCTATTGAACTAATGGATGAAAAGGGGGCAGCTCTAAGAAAAAAGAGGTCACTGTACGCTGGCCAAACGTCCCAACAGGTATCCATTTCAGCAGGGTGGGGATTATCAGTAACTATGCTTTATAAATAAGGAAGCTCAGGCTAAGGTAATCTCACTTTGCCCGACATTCAGATTTCTGGACACCTGCATGGGAGCCAGCACGCTGGGCCTTCCCCAGACGGCGCGGGCAGGGTGTGCCAGCTGAGAGCAAGGATGCGAGGCCATCACACCAGGTGGGAGCTGAGGCTCCAGGACCTTGCACAAGGGCTTGCTTCCTGGGACTTCAATTATTCACAGGGCTGGTGAAGGGTTAAAGGAACTGCGGGTCAAATGCCTCGCCTGGTGTCCAACACACGGCACAAACTCAGCAAGTATTTATTGATTCTTCTCTCAGCCTTAAGGATGGAAGGCACAGGCCCAGAAAAGGTCCCTGAGCTGAGACACTCATCTAGAGAAGAACTAGGTGTGCATCCTATGGCCCCACCCTACAGGGACACCCCTATCCCGCACCCCCCCGCCCCCCAACTCTAGGAGTCAGGGTCCTTGTGAGAACCCATGCCTCTGTGGATGTCTTCAATTTAGTGATGGCACCCACTAGCTCAGCCAGGGGCCTGCTGAGTGGGGAGGCTCCAGAGGGGGCTGTTGTGCTTGAGGCTCTAGAGCCGAGATCTACTCTAAAAGGCAGGGAAGGCCCTCAGCGGTCCTCCCAGGGAAGTCTGAGCGGTTTACCCTGGGGTTCAAGTCTTCTCCCCCAGACCTGTTAGCAACCAGATCATGCCCAGCTGCCAGCTCCCCTTTGGGTCTCACTCTTCTTCCAGGGGAGCTGGGAGGTTGGAGAGAGGTGTTCTGCAAGGGAGTGATGGTCAGAAGTCACCTTTGGAAGGAACCGTCTCACGCCTTAGCACGTTTATGTGGCTGTCTCGTCCTGAGGCCAGCATCTCTCATCCTTTGTGTCCCTAGCATCCAGCACACCGCCTGGAATGCAGGAAGCGGTTGCTGAATGAAGTAATGAATTATGTTTCAGCATTCGAGAGTGCTAGTGTGTAAGTAAATGTAAATGAGGGCTGCCAGTGGTTCCCTTCACCTCACTGGAGCCTCACAACTGCCCCTGCACTGGGAGCCACAGGTGAGGAGACCCAGGCTTGGGGCTGTTAAGTGACTTGTTCAAGGCCACCCAGTGGCAGATCCCAGCCTATCAGGATGGTTCCTGGGAAAGTAAAGGACTGGGAGGAACCTTGATGAATTGGGGCAATTGGCAGAAGAGTAATTCTCAGTCCAAAATGACTGGATCAAATGATTCGAGTGTGAAGAAGAAACCAGTCAGAGCTTCCCGGTGGAATTGCCCAGTTGGGGCTATTAGGGGTGACTTCTTAGCAGAACAGAAGGGCAGGACCCTGGGGTGCAGAACGGACTCTTTTCTGGTCCACCCTAGCACACAGAAAACTGCCAACCTGACTTTGCACCTGGGAATCTTAAGAGTATCATGAGAAAGAGTCCCCCTGGGATCACGGCCCTCTCATCACTCTGCTTCCAGCAAGTGCTTTTCCTTTAACAAAGCCCACTTGCCGTCTCCAAGGCCCGCATCCAGCACTTGCGCCACCGGGGGTGCTAAGCGTCTGTTTACTTGAGAGTCTCCATCCCTGGACTGTGGGCCTTGGAGAGGAAAGAATGGGCGCACCTTGAGCTCCATACCTGCTGCGGCGGGTTACTGGGTGGGGGAAAGGTGGGGTTTAGCTAGCCCAGCACTGACATCGCACAGTGCAACGTCAAACGTGGCATTTCCCCCAGGTGGGCGCACGGTTAACACAAGCCTGCGGATAAACACTCCACTGGGGCAATAACTATGCACATTTACTGAGCCCTGGGAGGAATGGTGGTCACGTGGCCGTCGAGGGCGGTGCCCTCAGCTTTGAGATGGAGTTAACTCCAAATCTAATCACAGAAGGCTTTCTGGAGGAGGCGGGAATTTTTATGGCGGTCGGTTGTGGCTTTCTCTGAACAGCGAGGATGCGCTTAGCCCCCTAGGGACCAAGTAGCTCCTGAGGTGAGCTTCTTGCTGGGCATCGAGGTCCAGGGGGCGACGGCGGTCCAGGTTGGGAGAAGGGGCTGGGGGGCTGGAGTCACAGGCCCAGGCCCAGCGTGGGTCCCACGACCTGCCCTTCCGCTGTCTCTGCGCACTGGGCGCGCCGCGACAGCGCCAGGTCGGTGCAGCGGGGCCCTGGTGCTGGGTGCAGGCCCGGAGGTCCCGGCCGCCCGAAAGGAGGGCGCCCCTGGCCGGGGGTTGGGTCCCAAGGCTCGGCCGAGCCCGGCCGCGGCCCTCTCCCGGCGCAGTCCCGCCGGGGTCCCCCAGCCGCCCGCGGGGGCAAGGCGCGCGCTCCCCGAGGGGCCGGGCTGCGCAGCCGGCGGCCTGCGTTGGGCGGCGGTGGCACGAGAGGGCCATCTGCCTGGGTGCCGAGAACTGCAGCGCTGCGGTGCGAGGCGCGGCCCGTCCCGGCCCCCTGCCCGGCGCGCACGCACCTACCCACGCCCGCAGCGCCCGCCGCCCCAGCCCCTCGCCAGGCCCAGACCAGCCTGGGCGCGGGAGGAGGTGCAGGGATTAGTGGACCCCTCCCCCAGGGCTGCCCTCGCCCCGCCCGAGGCGGCGGGGACCCCGGGGCTCGGGGCCGGTGCGGGAGCTTCGCCTCGGCGGGGCCGGGCTGCGGACTCGGCCTCCCCGGCGGGGGCTGCACGGCGCAGGCCGAGGTGCGGGCGCGCTGTCAGGCTGCAGCCCGGCTCGGGTGCGGGGGGCGGGCTCAGCGCCGGGGTCGCCGGCTCCTTTCCCCCTTGAGGCCACGGCCGGGCGGGCAGTGCCCCGGCGGGTAACCCGACCCGGCTCCCCGGAGCCGCTCGCCCCGCACGGCCGGACAGGGGAGGGAGAGCACGGGGGCGGGGGAAGGGACGGGGCGGTGGGTGAGGGGCTGTGGGGAGCGCAAGGCCGACTGCCCGGCCCGTCTGCGCCGCAGCAGGGCGGCTGCCCGCGGCGCCCGGGACCAGCCAGCCCCCTGCCTCGCGGGCGTCGAGCCTGCGGCAGGAGGGAGCCCCGGGGCTGCACAGGCTGGGCTCGGGGAGGCAGACCCGAGCTGCTGCCTCCATTTTGTTTCCTGCTCAGCTTGGTCTGTGGTGGTGTGGTGTGGGTTTGGGGTGCGGCCGGGTAGGGGGTTCACCTGCGGCCGCGCCTGCTCGGGGCCTGAGGCCTCGAAGACCCCAACCCAAGCCCCCAGGTGAGCCCTGTGGCAGGAGGGGGGTTGCTTTGGCCTCGGGCCGAGCCAAGCGGGCTGAGGGCAGGTGCCCAGTGGATGGGGAGCCTGGGCTGTAACCTAAGATGGAGGCCGGGACTGACGCGGGCCGGAGCGGGGCTGGCGGCGCGTTCGGACAGGCCTCAGCCGGGCCAGGTGCCGCCTGGGCTGGGGTTCGAGACGGGCAGGGTGCTGGAGCCGAGTGCAGCCCGGGGCCTGCGCAGTGCCCCGAGGTAGGTGAGGGGATCGGAATGCCACCCACGACGCCCGCAGGCCCGGACACTCCTTGGAGGCGCGCGAGGCCCCTGGGGAGCCCGCCTCAGGCCCCGCCCGGGCAGCCGGGCCGGCCCGTGGGCCCGGACCGCGAGCGGCCGCAGGGGGAGGGAAGAGAGGGGGCGGCCGCGGCAGCTCCGCTGATTGGGCGGTGCGTTCGTGAGCCCTACTTCACCCGCCCTGAACCCCGAAGAGTGAGGCGAGGGAGCGCGCGCGCACGGCGGGGGGAAGGGGTGCGCGCGCACTCCGGGCCCAGCCGCACGCGGGCCGGCGCGAGGCGCTCGGTCGCACGCGCCGCCGCGGGGGCGCGCGCGGTGGGGGTGTGAGGAGGAGGAGGAGGCGGCGGCGGAGGAGGAATAGGCCGGGGCAGGTCGCGCTCGCTGCCTTCTCCCTGGAAGAGAGACGAGGGGGGAGGGGGGTGCGGCGAGCGGCTCCTCTCTCCCCACCGCTCCGCTCGCGCCCCAGTGTAATGAGGGTCACCCCCTCCCCCCAGCTGGCCCGGGAGGGGGCGCGGGGCACGGTAACTAGTGCGCTGGGGTGGGCGGCGGGCAGGCGCGAGGAGGAGGGCGGAGGCGGCCGGGCGGGGAAGATGGTGGTGGCCGTGAGGTGAGGGGCTCGGGGGTGGGCCAGGCGCGGCGCGGGGTTGGTGGCCGGCGGCGCTGCAGCCGTGGCCCCCTCCCCCTCCTCCATCACTACCAGCCGGGCTCAGGCCTAGCTGGCCGGGCTGCCGCGAACTTCCTCCCGGCGCGGCCCGTGCCCCGCCGGCCGCCCGCGAGCACCTCGGCCTCCGCCTCCCCTCAGGTAGCCGGCTGGAGAGCACGGGGCCGGCTGCCCTCCCGCAGCAAACTTTGCTTGCTGCTGAATATTGATGAGCGAGATCGGCTCGGCCCGGAGGTGCGGCCGCGTCTGCGGGAAGGAGCGCGGCCCGGGCAGGCGGCGGCGGCGGCGGCGTCGGCAGCAGCCATGTTTGTCAAGCTGAAGCAGCTGCTGCTGCCCTGACTCGGCTTCGCCCGCCACCTCTGTTTCTCGCCCCGCCGCGTCCCGGCCCCCGGGCCCTGCAGCTGCGGACCGAGCCGGCCTGCAGTCAGGAAGGCCAGCGCCCGGGTGCATCCGCCTCGGCCAGCTCGCCTGCGGCCTGGGCACGGCCCCTGCGAAGGCTCCGGCGCTGGCCGGGCGCAGGGTGCAGCGCTATTGTGACCGCTGCGCCCGGGCGAGCGAGCCAGGAAGGAGGAGGGGTGCCTTTTTGTGCAGCGCCCGGGGGGCCCCCTCGGACCCCGCAGCCCCCTCCCTTCCAGAGATCCTGCCCCTGGACCCCTGGCAGGGGAGGGGAAGGACGATTCCTGGTTGAGATCTGAGAATTTTGACTGCCAGAGGGATTTAATTTTAGTTCAGCCCAAGTGTCCACCAGTCTGCAGTGGAGGAAAAAGGGACGGGCTGTTTCCATGTGGCAGGATCTCTGCCCAGCTTCGGGAAGACGGTGTTTGCGGAGGCTCGCCGAGGCCATTTTTACATCTCCAGTCCGGGGAACTTTTTCCGCCCATGGACGTGCAACAGAAAGGCGCATAGAGGCCAGCAGGCCTTGAGAAGTGGCTGCCATTTTGAAGAGAAGAGTCAGATGGCCTATTAGATTAATTGCTGTGTTTTTGGATTCTAGGTTGATGCCGGCCCAGGATGGATCAGACCTGTGAACTACCTAGAAGAAATTGTCTGCTGCCCTTTTCCAATCCAGTGAATTTAGATGCCCCAGAAGACAAGGACAACCCTTTCGGTAATGGTCAATCCAATTTTTCTGAGCCACTTAATGGGTGTACTATGCAGTTATCGACTGCCAGTGGAACATCCCAAAATGCTTATGGACAAGATTCTCCATCTTGTTACATTCCACTGCGGAGACTACAGGATTTGGCCTCCATGATCAATGTAGAGTATTTAAATGGGTCTGCTGATGGATCAGAATCCTTTCAAGACCCTGAAAAAAGTGATTCAAGAGCTCAGTCGCCAGTTGTTTGCACTTCCTTGAGTCCTGGTGGTCCTACAGCACTTGCTATGAAACAGGAACCCTCTTGTAATAACTCCCCTGAACTCCAGGTAAAAGTAACAAAGACTATCAAGAATGGCTTTCTGCACTTTGAGAATTTTACTTGTGTGGACGATACAGATGTAGATTCTGAAATGGACCCAGAACAGCCAGTCACAGAGGATGAGAGTATAGAGGAGATCTATGAGGAAACTCAGACCAATGCCACCTGCAATTATGAGCCTAAATCAGAGAATGGTGTAAAAATGGCCATGGGAAGTGAACAAGACAGCACACCAGAGAGTAGACACGGTGCAGTCAAATCGCCATTCTTGCCGTTAGCTCCTCAAACTGAAACACAGAAAAATAAGCAAAGAAGTGAAGTGGACGGCAGCAGTGAAAAAGCAGCCCTTCTCCCAACCCCTTTTTCACTAGGAGATACAAACATTACCATAGAAGAGCAATTAAACTCAATAAATTTATCTTTTCAGGATGATCCAGACTCCAGTACCAGTACATTAGGAAACATGCTAGAATTACCTGGAACTTCATCATCATCTACTTCACAGGAATTGCCATTTGTAAGCAGTTTTTGGTATAACTTAAATATATACATACATGTGTATCTACAGGCCACTAAAAGGGAAACTTGTGAGAAATTTGTTTTTGGTTGCTTATGAGTTCACAGCTGAAAGCTTATTACTAATGTAGATGAGCTTTTGGGGGAAAATTTTACTTTGATTTTTAAACTTCTTTCTACTGTATGAGTTTGGTTCTTTTCAGCTTTTCCTAAGCAACTCTCCATTGAGTACCGGTTAACTTTTAAGGGTATTTGACTGAGTTCATTGATTTTCAAGATGGAAGTATACATTTCATTAGCTTTAAAAAAAAAAAAAAAAGAGGGGCTTTGGCCTGCCAGTATCCTGAGTGCTGATGAACCAGTTTATTTCTTGGAGTCCTGTTTCTGTGTAAAGCATGGCTTATTTATCAGTTGGTGGGTTGACTGTTGCTGCAGGTTGAAGTACATTTTGAGCACAGATTGAAAGTGACTAAGATGAGAAGGCTTTCTTGGATATCAGTCAAAATTTAAATTAGGCTAATTTTTCTGAATGTAGAGCAAGCATCCTATATAGGCTTTTGATAACTGCCACCATCAGCTCTTGAACATTTTATAGTTAATTTTTTTTTTTTAAAGAGACAGCAATCTCACTGTGTTGCCCAGGCTGGCCTTTAACTCCTGGGCTCTAGTGATTCTTCTCCCTAACCCTCCCAAGTAGCTGGGACTACAGTAGTTTTCAGTTTTGAAGTATATATGTTGTGTGGTGTATGTACATATATGTGTATGTAGAAATGGAGAAAATCTAATTTGAGTTGCTGTTTATAGCATTGCTATGTAGTATTAGAGGGCAGTGAACGATAACATTGTTTTTATTTGAATTTATGCAGAATTTCTTGATTTGTCTAGTTAGCTATTATGATCAGTTGACTTAGCCTCAGTTTCATCACTTCTGAATTCCAAAGGTATTTGATTACTGTAAGATTTCTTTCAGCTTTAGATACTTGATTCTGATTTTGTTTCTATGCAGACATGTGGTCACTGGTAATGGCATCAAACAGGATTTATTTATTTATTTATTTTTGCCAGCAAATGCCTCAGAAGTACCACGTAAAGGTTTTATAAGAAAAACTTACAGTACATAGTGATTGTTTTGAGTGCCTAAACATTCACTTAACTGTATATCCCCGCTGTTGTTTAAAGTTACAGAGGGAGAATGTGGGTGTGTCGCTTTTTTATTTCTGTTGATTCATGTCTTAAATATGCATTAGTACTCCTTGGTTTCTTAGTTTGGCAACTGCAGATTTAAAAAATTAGGCTCCATGGTTATCTTGGGTCTGTATTGTCCTAGATATTTATTATGGTGGATAGGCTGTTTTGAAAACCTATTGGCAGCTTAGAAAAATTCTTGAATTCACATTGAAGTTTAGTTTACATATATGTAGTTTTGTTTTTGTTTTCACATACAAATTTAAGTCTGAAAATGGAGATAGATGTTTCTCTGCAGACATACAAATGGAATTGTGGCCGGGTGCTGTGGCTCAGGCCTGTAATCCTAGCAGTCTGGGAGGCCAAGGCGGGTGGATTGCTTGAGGTCAGTTCAAAACCAGCCTGAGCAAGAGCGAGACCCCGTCTCTACTATAAATAGAAAGAAATTAATTGGCCAACTAATATATATAGAAAAAATTAGCTGGGCATGGTGGTGCATGCCTGTAGTCCCAGCTACTCGGGAGGCCGAGGCAGGAAGATTGCTTGAGCCCAGGAGTTTGAGGTTGCTGTGAGCTAGGCTGACGTCATGGCATCCACGCTAGCCTGGGCAACAAAGCGAGACTCTGTTTCAGAAAAAAAAAAAAAACACAACAACAACAAAAAAACAAATGGAATTGTAAGCCTGTGTGGTTCTTATCAAACATGTTTGTGGAATATTGGTTCTATTAAGAACAATTGAAAATATTGGAGCCTTTAGACAGTATCTTATTCTTTTTTTTTTCTATTTCTATAATTTTTTTCTATTAGATGGCCAATTAATTTCTTTCTATTTATAGTAGAGACGGGTCTAGCTCTTGCTTAGGCTGGTTTTGAACTGCTGACCTCAAGCAGTCTTCCCGCCTCGGCCTCCCAGACTGCTAGGATTACAGGCCTGAGCCGCCGCGCCCGGCCAGTATTTTATTCTTCTAAAATGGGAGTTAGCAAAATTGTATAAATGCAGAAAACTTTTTGAGGGAGAAAATCTAAATTGCTCACAGACTTTATAGATTTGAAAAAGCAGTATCTAGTTTATTGTTTTAGGACTTTGGTTCCAGGTAGTGGTTGAAATCTATTGGTTTTTATTTTTGCCTTTTTTTTTTTTTCCTCGAGATAGTCTCTCTCTCTGTTGCCTGAGCTAGAGTGCCATGGTGTCAGCCTAGCTCACGGCAACCTCAAACTCCTGGGCTCAAGCGATCCTCCTGCTTCAGCCTCCCTAGTAGCTGGGACTACAGGCACGCGCCACCATGCCCGGCTAATTTTTTTATATATATGTATTTTTTAGTTGTCCAGCTAATTTCTATTTTTTTAGTAGAGACCGTGTTTTGCTCTTGCTCAGGCTAGTCTGAAATTCCTGAGCTCAAACAATGCCCCTGCCTCAGGCCTCCCAGAGTGCTAGGATTACAGGCGTGAGCCACCACGCCCAGCCAGCCTTTGATATTTTTTAACTGAGGATTTAAAAAGAGAGGTCAATCTCAGTGTAAATTTAGCTTAACAATATAGCTTGGAAAAGGTGTAATTAAAAATACTTCTATGTAGCCATATAGTATTGACTTCACAGTTGATTTTAAGTTCATCTATGGAGTAGGTATAGATGCTATGCTGAGGGCTGGAAATTTTAGAAAATCCTTAGCAAATTCTGTATGTCTTTTATTCTCTCTGTAACGTAATGATAGAGTAAGATTCTCTTGGTAGTGGGTAAGAGTAACTATTAGGGTTGTAGACCCCTGTCCAGAATCAGAGAAAGATGCATAAATCAAGATCACATTTTCTGTTGTTTTATTTATCTAGCTCTAAGCAGACAGATTGACTCCTGTCATAAATGAGCAGCCTGTTCAGTTTACCCTCATGTGCTCTTCATGTATTTTTTTCTGTGAACAGTGATGTGAAATGATTGTCATTACTGTTTATAATCCTGACCTGGTGCTTTCATATTTAACTGAGTTGATACCGTCTGATTTGTGCTTTGTACATAGTAGGTGTTTGATAAAATACTGAAGGAAGGTTTGTCCCCAGAATTCCAAGTTCCAATAGGCAATAACTTAGAGTGTATTAAGTGCTTTGGTCTCTATTGTCTCATTGGGTCTTCCTAGCTTTGTAGTGAAAAGAGATGTCATAGAAGAATTAGGTTAGCTTTTATGGCACTTGAGATCATTGGAGTCAAACTTGAAATCATAGAGTTAACTGAATACCTGTGGCTTACTCTACTGACTTCTGAAAGGTCTCTGCTACCTCTTTGCCTGTGTCTGAGATAACGCTTGGATTTCTCCCTGCTAGGATGATTTAGAGCAGTTGTTTTCTATTCTCCCTCACTTAGGTATTTTTATGAAGAATGTATACTATAGTTATATTCATTAATTAATGATCCTCAAAGTTTTTAGAATGTAGCCAGCTTCAGGATGGTTTGACATATATATGATACCATGGATGTTTAAGGAATCCAGTGGAGAGATGAATGAAACCTAGAGTTGAGGCTTAAAGAAGTGGGACTCAAATTGGCCTTGGCTGGATTGGTTTTGTTAGGTTTAGAAGGGTACTTTGGATGTGGAGAATTAAATGAACCTAATATTTTCAGTAGATAATTGTTGGGGGTTGCTTGGATAGGATGAATGTAGCCGAATAATAGGGCCTGGAAATCTAGACTGAACCATTTGATATTGATGTGATAGGAACTGGGAGCCATTGAGGGATTTTAGCTGAGAAGTGATAATGGTGAAATCTATGTTTGGTTGACTGGCTAGGTGAGATTAAGGCAAGGTCAGGATGTAGGAATCTTTTGTAGTAGTAATTAAGACTGGGACTTGAGGCCAGGTGTGGTGGCTCATGCCTGTAATCCTAGCATCAGGGAGGCCGAGGCCAGTGGATCGATCAAGGTCTTGAGTTCAAAACCAGTCTGAGCAAGAGCAAGACCCCGTCTCTACTAAAAATAGAAAGAAATTAATTGGACAAGTAAAAACATATAGAAAAAATTAGCCGGGCATGATGGCGCATGCCAGTAGTCCCAGCAACTTAGGAGGCTGAGGCAGGAGGATCGCTTGAGTTTGAGGTTGCTGTGAGCTAGGTTGACACCACGGCACTCTAGCCCGGGTAACAAAAAAAAGACTGAGACTTTAGTGTAATAAGTACTAGAAAGAAAGGGGATAAATCTAAAAGACTATTTCAAGGGGAGAAAATTAGAATTGGCAACCCCACTGGAGGAAACATTGGAGCCTGGATTTGAAGAATGAAGGAGAGACATGAGTGTAGATGTCTAAGGCTTGTAGTGTTGGTGCCTGAGGAAAAAATGATTCCTCACAGGTTCCCTGCTCTTCTCTACCCATCATCCCAGCAGTTCTCTACTGCCTTCTTTCCTCTCAAGAAAGTTGATCCTGGCCATTTGCAGTGGCTCATGCCATTAATCCTAGCACTTTGGGAGGCCGAGGTAGGCAGATCACTCAAGGTCAGGAGTTCTAAACCAGCCTGAGCAAGAGCAAGACCCCGTCTCAACTAAAAATAGAAACAAATTAATTGGCCAACTAAAAATATATATAGAAAAAATTAGCTGGGCATGGTGGTACATGCAGAAGGATTGCTTGAGCCCAGGAGATTGAGGTTGCTGTGAGCTAGGCTGATGCCATGGCACTCTAGCCTGGGCAACAGAGTGAGACTCTAACTCAAAAAAAGAAAAGGAAAGAAAGTTGATCCTTCTTTCTCTACACCTTTGAGGTTCTGTTCTCTGACTCCCTCCTCCTTGTTGGGTGACCTTGTTTTTTTAAACAAGCAAGACCTTGCTCTTTCCCC